TCACCTGTCTCTCTCTCACCTGTCTCTCTCTAACCTGTCTCTCTCACCCTGTCTCACCTGTCTCTCTCCTCCCGAGTCTCTGAGTTTCCGCGACTGTTCGTCGATCATCATGGCAAGCAGCCGTTTGTCCTGCGGCCTCGAGCAGCAGCTGGCCCCCGCAGTGCGGTCACCCGTCGCTGCTGGATGCGGGCCCGGTTCGGCCAAAGTACACAGGATACTGAAACGACGGGCGGGGGTAAAGGGGGGTTAGACAGAGGGGAGAGGGTCGGGGAGGGAACGGTGAAGGACAGAGTCAAAGACAAGGGTCAGAGACAGGGTTAGGGAAGGACAGGATCAGGGATATGAAGGCCAGGAGGAAATGATACACAAAAGGCAGGTTTCGGGTTATAGAGCCGTTGCGAGACAGATTATGATCCTATGCTCGTCACGTGAAATTACATATGAGTGAATCATCAGCTGGGATCCAACGAGAGAAATCCATGAAGTTGCATCAAAATTGTAATTTGTAACGTTATGCTCTATCCTACGTTCAACTGAGGTACTGATATTATTCCCTCCAAACTTATCTCTCCCCCCACCCCCACCTCCCTCCACTCCGTCGCCACCCACCAGAGTATGAGTATGACGTAGACGGCGAACCCGGGCGAGGTAATGTAGGAGAGGTAGTAGACCAGCTGGTCGTTCCACTGGTCCACGATGTCGGTCACCACCTGCCACGGCTGCGACAGATCCTGGAACGGACCCGCATGACGACGAGCTGCGCACTCTGTGGGAAAGACGGGGAGAGGGGCGCCGTTAGTGGTTTGAGAATCTGCGCAATCTGTGGAAGAGACGGCAGAGCGGAGACGATAGTGAAACCGGAGCTGACCGAGAGTCACCAGCTAATTACGAGGCCTGTTGGAAGGACGCAGGAGAGCGGAGCCGATATGGATAACGCCAACTGCTGACGTTGGAAAGTTATCGCCAGTCTTTCGCTTACAATGAGCAGGACTAAATGCGCAAACGGGTATCATGCCTATGCGAGACGCATATCAGTTATCTGTTTCGATCTTACTGTTTCGAAACTTAGCGATACTCTTTACAGATAAACACGCTTTGTCGTATCAGATTTCAGCAGACAGTAAAACTATTAATTACTAGCCCCAATCTAGTGAACTTCCAAGGGTCAGCACTCAACTGGATCCGTGCTCAACACCCTCACTCCCTACCCAGCATGGCAGCAACGAACCCAGCGTGATGGCACCCCACACAACACGTCAACACCCGCTCCCAACAGGCAACATCGGTCCTTACTTGAAGACGACCACTCCGACGGCCGCCATGGCCGCCATCATGGAGACGAAGGCCACCAGTTGGAACACGGTGCGGGTCTGTGCCGCGCGCCACGAGTTGGCCGCCGGCTCGCAGCTGGACAGACAGCTGAACTGAAAACCACAGCGGGTGGTATGTGTTATAAATGGCCGCCGGCTCGCAGCTGGACAGACAGCTGAATTGGAAACCACAGCGGGTGGCATGTGTTATAAATGGACGCCGGCTCGCAGCTGCACAGACAGCTGAACTGGAAACCACAGCGGGTGGTATGTGTTATAAATGGTCGCCGGTTCGCAGCTAGACAGACAGCTCAACTGGAAACCACAGCGGGTGGTATGTGTTATAAATGGCCGCCGGCTCGCAGCTGGACAGACAACTGAACTGGGAACGCGGTGTTATTGTGTAAACAAGCGTGGGAATAAGTTAGTTATAGAAAGTGAGCCACGGCAAAACTGGACTCAAAGTTCATTCAGTCGGTTAGTGTGTGAGAATATAAAACGCATAACTATTAGGTATCTGACATTTCAGAGAAACATTACAGCAAATGAATGCAACGATTATAAGCAACAACTAGCAAAGAAACACAAAACAAGTATAACACAGCATCGCTTCGAAAACATCACATTTATCAAGACAGTAAGAGCTGGCACAACAGGTCTGCTGACGCACCCAAAAGATTACTAATACCTTGCCGACCCTGCTGGCCCTGATCCCGGCGTGAGCGCCCACCTTTTTGACGTAGAACGAGCAGAAGAGTTTGACGGTGCCGATGACGGTGATGAGGGGGCTGAAGTAGAGGCCCAGCCAGACGAGCGTCTGCGAGTACACCAGAAACATGGTGTTGCTGGCCAACTCGAACTTGGGACGCCCGATCCGCGTCAGGCCCGCCCTGTGGGGTCAGAGGGTGAACAGAGGACGTGTCAGAAGGCTTTGGGGGTACTTTGGGAGGTGGGTCAGGATTGGGGTACTATTACAGGGTTACAGGGTTGCGAGAATTTAGCCATTGGAGCTAATTCGTTACACTTGTTGACTAGTTACCAGGGAGTTAGGGTATTGGTAACTTCCCCCCACGCTTGGTAAAGTCTAAATCCCCACGCTTCCGCTCCAACCTGGTTACCTGACCTGTGCCGTGTACTGTGCATAGCGACGTAACCACCTGAACAGCTGGTTCCTGACAAACTCTCCCAGCGGTGGGGTACTGTTCCATACGCTACCGTACAGAGTGCACCCACCTGAACAGCTGGTTCCTGACAAACTCTCCCAGGAGTGAGAGTACGAGTGTGAAGATGAACTCCATGATGACCAGCTGGTAGATCACCTGGCCCAGCTCGCTCTCCCAACACTGGAACACAGCGGTAGTGGGTGAGCAGGGATCGGGGAAAGGGTATTAGGATGGTGCGCTGCACAATCACCTGACCCAGCTCGCTCTCCCAGCACTGGAACACAGCGGTAGTGGGTGAGCAGGGATCGGGGAAAGGGTATTAGGATGGTGCGCTGCACAATCACCTGACCCAGCTCGCTCTCCCAACACTGGAACACAGCGGTAGTGGGTGAGCAGGGATCGGGGAAAGGGTATTAGGGATGGTGCGCTGCACAATCACCTGACCCAGCTCGCTCTCCCAGCACTGGAACACAGCGGTAGTGGGTGAGCAGGGATCGGGGAAAGGGTATTAGGATGGTGCGCTGCACAATCACCTGACCCAGCTCGCTCTCCCAACACTGGAACACAGCGGTAGTGGGTGAGCAGGGATCGGGGAAAGGGTATTAGGATGGTGCGCTGCACAATCACCTGACCCAGCTCGCTCTCCCAACACTGGAACACAGCGGTAGTGGGTGAGCAGGGATCGGGGAAAGGGTATTAGGATGGTGCGCTGCACAATCACCTGACCCAGCTCGCTCTCCCAACACTGGAACACAGCGGTAGTGGGTGAGCAGGGATCGGGGAAAGGGTATTAGGATGGTGCGCTGCACAATCACCTGACCCAGCTCGCTCTCCCAACACTGGAACACAGCGGTAGTGGGTGAGCAGGGATCGGGGAAAGGGTATTAGGATGGTGCGCTGCACAATCACCTGGCCCAGCTCGCTCTCCCAACACTGGAACACAGCGGTAGTGGGTGAGCAGGGATCGGGGAAAGGGTATTAGGATGGTGCGCTGCACAATCACCTGGCCCAGCTCGCTCTCCCAACACTGGAACACAGCGGTAGTGGGTGAGCAGGGATCGGGGAAAGGGTATTAGGATGGTACGCTGCACAATCACCTGACCCAGCTCGCTCTCCCAACACTGGAACACAGCGGTAGTGGGTGAGCGGGGTCAGGGGAAAGGGTATTAGGATGGTGCGCTGCACAATCACCTGACCCAGCTCGCTCTCCCAACACTGGAACACAGCGGTAGTGGGTGAGCAGGGATCGGGGAAAGGGTATTAGGATGGTGCGCTGCACAATCACCTGACCCAGCTCGCTCTCCCAACACTGGAACACGGCGGTAGTGGGTGAGCAGGGATCGGGGAAAGGGTATTAGGATGGTGCGCTGCACAATCACCTGGCCCAGCTCGCTCTCCCAACACTGGAACACGGCGGTAGTGGGTGAGCAGGGATCGGGGAAAGGGTATTAGGATGGTACGCTGCACAATCACCTGACCCAGCTCGCTCTCCCAACACTGGAACACAGCGGTAGTGGGTGAGCAGGGATCGGGGAAAGGGTATTAGGATGGTGCGCTGCACAATCACCTGACCCAGCTCGCTCTCCCAACACTGGAACACAGCGGTAGTGGGTGAGCAGGGATCGGGGAAAGGGTATTAGGATGGTACGCTGCACAATCACCTGACCCAGCTCGCTCTCCCAGCACTGGAACACAGCGGTAGTGGGTGAGCAGGGATCGGGGAAAGGGTATTAGGATGGTACGCTGCACAATCACCTGACCCAGCTCGCTCTCCCAACACTGGAACACGGCGGTAGTGGGTGAGCAGGGATCGGGGAAAGGGTATTAGGATGGTGCGCTGCACAATCACCTGACCCAGCTCGCTCTCCCAACACTGGAACACAGCGGTAGTGGGTGAGCGGGGATCGGGGAAAGGGTATTAGGATGGTACGCTGCACAATCACCTGGCCCAGCTCGCTCTCCCAACACTGGAACACAGCGGTAGTGGGTGAGCAGGGATCGGGGAAAGGGTATTAGGATGGTGCGCTGCACAATCACCTGACCCAGCTCGCTCTCCCAACACTGGAACACGGCGGTAGTGGGTGAGCAGGGATCGGGGAAAGGGTATTAGGATGGTACGCTGCACAATCACCTGACCCAGCTCGCTCTCCCAACACTGGAACACAGCGGTAGTGGGTGAGCAGGGATCGGGGAAAGGGTATTAGGATGGTGCGCTGCACAATCACCTGACCCAGCTCGCTCTCCCAACACTGGAACACAGCGGTAGTGGGTGAGCAGGGATCGGGGAAAGGGTATTAGGATGGTGCGCTGCACAATCACCTGACCCAGCTCGCTCTCCCAACACTGGAACACAGCGGTAGTGGGTGAGCAGGGATCGGGGAAAGGGTATTAGGGATGGTGCGCTGCACAATCACCTGGCCCAGCTCGCTCTCCCAACACTGGAACACGGCGGTAGTGGGTGAGCAGGGATCGGGGAAAGGGTATTAGGATGGTGCGCTGCACAATCACCTGACCCAGCTCGCTCTCCCAGCACTGGAACACAGCGGTAGTGGGTGAGCAGGGATCGGGGAAAGGGTATTAGGATGGTGCGCTGCACAATCACCTGGCCCAGCTCGCTCTCCCAACACTGGAACACAGCGGTAGTGGGTGAGCAGGGATCGGGGAAAGGGTATTAGGATGGTGCGCTGCACAATCACCTGACCCAGCTCGCTCTCCCAGCACTGGAACACAGCGGTAGTGGGTGAGCAGGGATCGGGGAAAGGGTATTAGGATGGTGCGCTGCACAATCACCTGACCCAGCTCGCTCTCCCAGCACTGGAACACAGCGGTAGTGGGTGAGCAGGGATCGGGGAAAGGGTATTAGGATGGTACGCTGCACAATCACCTGACCCAGCTCGCTCTCCCAACACTGGAACACAGCGGTAGTGGGTGAGCAGGGATCGGGGAAAGGGTATTAGGATGGTGCGCTGCACAATCACCTGACCCAGCTCGCTCTCCCAACACTGGAACACAGCGGTAGTGGGTGAGCAGGGATCGGGGAAAGGGTATTAGGATGGTACGCTGCACAATCACCTGACCCAGCTCGCTCTCCCAACACTGGAACACAGCGGTAGTGGGTGAGCAGGGATCGGGGAAAGGGTATTAGGATGGTGCGCTGCACAATCACCTGACCCAGCTCGCTCTCCCAACACTGGAACACAGCGGTAGTGGGTGAGCAGGGATCGGGGAAAGGGTATTAGGGATGGTGCGCTGCACAATCACCTGGCCCAGCTCGCTCTCCCAACACTGGAACACGGCGGTAGTGGGTGAGCAGGGATCGGGGAAAGGGTATTAGGATGGTGCGCTGCACAATCACCTGACCCAGCTCGCTCTCCCAGCACTGGAACACAGCGGTAGTGGGTGAGCAGGGATCGGGGAAAGGGTATTAGGATGGTGCGCTGCACAATCACCTGACCCAGCTCGCTCTCCCAACACTGGAACACAGCGGTAGTGGGTGAGCAGGGATCGGGGAAAGGGTATTAGGATGGTGCGCTGCACAATCACCTGGCCCAGCTCGCTCTCCCAGCACTGGAACACAGCGGTAGTGGGTGAGCAGGGATCGGGGAAAGGGTATTAGGATGGTACGCTGCACAATCACCTGACCCAGCTCGCTCTCCCAACACTGGAACACAGCGGTAGTGGGTGAGCAGGGATCGGGGAAAGGGTATTAGGATGGTGCGCTGCACAATCACCTGACCCAGCTCGCTCTCCCAACACTGGAACACAGCGGTAGTGGGTGAGCAGGGATCGGGGAAAGGGTATTAGGATGGTGCGCTGCACAATCACCTGACCCAGCTCGCTCTCCCAACACTGGAACACAGCGGTAGTGGGTGAGCAGGGATCGGGGAAAGGGTATTAGGATGGTGCGCTGCACAATCACCTGGCCCAGCTCGCTCTCCCAACACTGGAACACAGCGGTAGTGGGTGAGCAGGGATCGGGGAAAGGGTATTAGGATGGTACGCTGCACAATCACCTGGCCCAGCTCGCTCTCCCAGCACTGGAACACAGCGGTAGTGGGTGAGCGGGGATCGGGGAAAGGGTATTAGGATGGTACGCTGCACAATCACCTGACCCAGCTCGCTCTCCCAACACTGGAACACGGCGGTAGTGGGTGAGCAGGGATCGGGGAAAGGGTATTAGGATGGTGCGCTGCACAATCACCTGACCCAGCTCGCTCTCCCAACACTGGAACACAGCGGTAGTGGGTGAGCAGGGATCGGGGAAAGGGTATTAGGATGGTGCGCTGCACAATCACCTGACCCAGCTCGCTCTCCCAACACTGGAACACAGCGGTAGTGGGTGAGCAGGGATCGGGGAAAGGGTATTAGGATGGTGCGCTGCACAATCACCTGACCCAGCTCGCTCTCCCAACACTGGAACACAGCGGTAGTGGGTGAGCAGGGATCGGGGAAAGGGTATTAGGATGGTGCGCTGCACAATCACCTGACCCAGCTCGCTCTCCCAACACTGGAACACAGCGGTAGTGGGTGAGCAGGGTCAGGGGAAAGGGTATTAGGATGGTGCGCTGCACAATCACCTGACCCAGCTCGCTCTCCCAACACTGGAACACAGCGGTAGTGGGTGAGCAGGGATCGGGGAAAGGGTATTAGGATGGTGCGCTGCACAATCACCTGACCCAGCTCGCTCTCCCAACACTGGAACACAGCGGTAGTGGGTGAGCAGGGATCGGGGAAAGGGTATTAGGATGGTGCGCTGCACAATCACCTGACCCAGCTCGCTCTCCCAACACTGGAACACAGCGGTAGTGGGTGAGCAGGGATCGGGGAAAGGGTATTAGGATGGTGCGCTGCACAATCACCTGACCCAGCTCGCTCTCCCAACACTGGAACACAGCGGTAGTGGGTGAGCGGGGTCAGGGGAAAGGGTATTAGGATGGTACGCTGCACAATCACCTGGCCCAGCTCGCTCTCCCAACACTGGAACACAGCGGTAGTGGGTGAGCAGGGATCGGGGAAAGGGTATTAGGATGGTACGCTGCACAATCACCTGACCCAGCTCGCTCTCCCAACACTGGAACACAGCGGTAGTGGGTGAGCAGGGATCGGGGAAAGGGTATTAGGATGGTACGCTGCACAATCACCTGACCCAGCTCGCTCTCCCAGCACTGGAACACAGCGGT